CATGTTTGTAATCATGTACATGTATATATTTGTATATATTTTTACTCGCTGTTCTTATTCGTCTCTATCTGCCTCGTTTTCTCCCTCTCTCCCTCTTTCTTTCCTGCCATCCCCAATTATACGTACCACTTCCTCTTTCGTCTCCCATCCTTTTCTTGTCTGCCCTCTCCTCCTTTCTGTGCCGCTCTCTCTCTGTTTCTTTTGTCTTTTTCTCCTCTGTCTGCATGTCGTATGTTATTACGTTTACATATTGTCCTCAGCGCCACCCCTCCGAACATTCCCTCTTTCTGTGAACCTTTTTTTTGTGTTCGCCCGCCCCTTTTTTTCCCCCACCCTCTCTCTCTCTTTTTGTCGTGCCCCCTCCTTCTCCGAACTTATGTAGACATATCTGGGTCTACCTATTCTGTTACATTTCGTACTATTCACTATTTACACTTCTATGTTGTCATGCTTCCTTATTTTGGCAGTGCATTTTTTGTTGTTGCTCCCTCTGTCTCTATCGGTTCTTCTGTTGCCCCTGTCTCTGTCCCCCTCCTCTCTCTGTATAGATAGGTATTGCTTTCTACACATGTGTATACGTATATGTATATAAAGTGTAGAGATATATCCTCCCTCTCTCGTCTCGTTTTTTTCCTCTCTCCCCTCTACCCTGTCATCTTTCCTTTCTCCTCCCCCCCAAGGAGGCGCTGGCCAGCTGCAAGGGGGCACTGCTGGGCCAGATCGTGACGAAGCTGGCGAGAAACCCCCTGGAGACGGTGGAGAACAGGAATCGGCGGCGAGCGAGGGGGGGAAGTGAGAAGGGGCGGGCCTTCTCGGAAGGCTCGGAGCCCCCCGCCTTCCGAGAAGCTTCCAGAGCCTTCCCTGGAGACGCCGGGAACCTCTCGGAGAGCGCGAGGGCTTCTGCGAAGCCCCGCCGCCTTCTGAGGAGGCCTTCTCCTTCGCACCTTCTCCCCCCCTCGCTCGCTGCCGAAGGAAGAGGTGCGGGGCGCTGGTGCAGAAGTGGGTCAAGCAGGCGGGCTGGGGGGGGGGGGCGAGGGCCTCCTGTGGGGGGCCGCGGCTCGCCGGGCCGAGGGCCCCGGGCGGCTTTTGCGTGCTGCGGCGGGCGGGCGGTGCTGCCCCGCATGGCCGGCGGGGGCAATGCTGTTGTGGAGGGCGATCAATGGAGAGGAAGCGTGCTGCCAAGTAACTTCCAGATGCCTGAAAGATGTTTCAAGTTTTTTTTTTTTTTTTTTTTTTTTTTTTTTTTTTTTTTTTTTTTTTTTTTTTTTTTTTTTTTTTTTTTTTTTTTTTTTTTTTTTTTTTTTTGATTTTTTCCTGTGAAAAAAAAACAGGTTTGAAACATTTTGAGACCATGTTCTTACACATTTTAAACAAATCTTTAATTCAATGATGCGATTGTTAGAGTGTCCATGATCATGGCATGCACAACAATGTTGGGACCACTGCGCGCTGGCGCCCGACTTGCTCTCGGAATGGGGGGGCGTGCCTCCAGTCGGTGGTTCAGATAGGGGGTCCTGAGGGATGGGGTCCTTCTCGATGAGTACAACCACTTGGATCCGCGCTGGGCTCTGCCCCCGGCGAGCTCCGCGCGCCAGGGAGGGGGGTCCGGCGCAGATCCAGGAAGTCCGCGCGGAGCGCCAAAAGTTTATGTTTTTCTTCCTCTATTCCAGTCTGTGGTTCAAAGATGGGGTCCTGAGGGATGGAATCCTGAGGACAGGGAGGGATTCGACCGTGGATTTACACTGCTTCAGGCACCTCGTCCTCAGGACCCCATCCCTCAGGTCCCCATCTTGGGTCGGACGGGGCTAGGACGAGGATCCATCCGTTCCAGTGCGTTCCGGGACGCTCTCACAGCGTTCTGGAACGCTCTGAGAAGGCCGCGGCGCCCGAGGCTTTTTCCAGAGCCGCCAGATCTCAGAGATTCCCGATTTACCCTAACCTGATTTTGCCCCCGTCCTGGCTGGTGCCCCCAGGCCTCCCGAATGGGATCCGAGTGGATGGGATCGGAGGATCGCGCCGCATCGCCGATATGGAGCCTGATTTTCCGCGTCTCGCCGTCGCCTATGCATCCGCGACGGGGGGTGGTCTTCCGACCCCATCTACTCGGACCCCATTGGGGAGGCCTCCAGTGCCGAAACTGAGGCCGAGGCCTCCTGGTGTCTACCACCTTGCTTCAGGTCCGCACCTCTTGCTCGGAGCAATCGGCGTGTTCGCCTTCCACTGTGACGTGGCGGACGGGTCCGGCTCTCACCTTCCCGTGGCCAGTGCCCCCCAAGCGCGCACATGTTTGTATCGAGCTTGGCTTGCTTGCGGAGGTGCAAATGTGGAGTGCGCGCGATGCTAGTTGGGACGATGGGCCAACAGCGCATCTTCTGGCTCAAGCTCAACCGATTCGGAGTCTGTGTTTGTCTCTCATAGGGTGATTTTCGGGGCTCCTGTTGGGCCTTGGGGAGCCCTGTAAGGGCGTATGGCGTTAATATGTTCTCTAGCCCCGATAGGGGCCTCTTGCAGGCGTCTGGGACGCCCACTACGGAGAAACTGGACGTTACACAGATCAATTCGAGAAGCTCGGATGTATCGAAACGTTCGAGATTCAATCTTTTTCTTACTCCTCCTATCCCTGTCCCGCTATTCCCTCCTGCCCAAATTCCCCCCTCTCTAGCTGTCTCTTACACTCTCCCTCCCTCCCCTTCTCTCTTACCACCTTCTACGTCTCTTGCTACGTTTCCCCCTACCCCTCTTTTTTTTATCTTTCTCTCTCTCTCTCTCTCTCTCTTTCTTTTTTCACACACACACACACACTCTCTCTCTCTCCCTACACAAACTTCGATCGCTCCGCCCGCCCTCTCGGGATGATCGCCACTAGGGGCAGAGTTAGATCGTTAGTTATCTGAAGGGCTTCGTCATCTGCCGCTGGTCCCACCCTCATATTGCTTGCATGGCCACGCTTGGCCGGTAGGTTGGCTGGTGTTCTGGTCGGTGGGCCGGCAACTCGGCTGGTTGGCTTGCTGTCTAGATCGATGGCTGCGTGGCTGCGCGCGCCTGCAATGATTAATATGAGGGGTAGTGGCTTCGGCAGCGCGCCTCTATGGTAATTTACAAGGTTCCGCGGCTTTGGGAGCGCGCACCCTAGCTTTTTTTGGAGGATTGGTGGCCTCGGGCCCAGGGGCCGAGTCGAGTTGTCAGGAAACGACCGGTGGGGGGGGTCGGACGTGCTTCCTGAGCGCGCATCTGGAGTTCTCTGCTCTGGAGTTCTCTGCTCCGGAGCAGGGGGGGGGCGCTTCTGGGCTGCTGCCTTGGGATTGGGTTTCCAGGCCTCGGGGCCGCCAGCGCGCCGTGATTTTACGAGGGACTGCGGCCTCGGGAACGTGAGTCCATTGAATAATGAGAAGAAGAGTAAGGATGATAGTGATAATAAGACTACTACTGATAATACGAATAATAATGATAATCATAATAATCATAATAATACTAAGAAGAATAATAAGGATAAGAAAAAAGACAAAACACAACAATAAGTGGAATAATAATGAGAAGGAAAAGGATGATGATGATAAAGCCCTGACCCGAGTTACCCCTGATGGCTCGGGGCTCTGGGCGCCCGAGTTGTCAGAGTTCAACAAGGGTTGGGGCCTCGGGGGCGCGAACCCGTCGGTGGTTGTGGCTTCGGGAGTGCGAGCGCGCCGTGATTCCCCGGGAGTCGTGGCCCTGGGAGCGCGAGCCTGGCGCAGTCTATCAGGAATTGTGGCATCGGGAGCGCGAGGGCGCCGTCATCTGGAAGGGACTGTTGCCTCGGGAGCGCGAACCTGTGGGGATTCCTGGGGACTCCGACCTGTGGGGGCGCAGCCGTGGCGTAATCTAGAAGCGGTGGTGGCCTCGGGAGCGCGCCTCCGCCGCAATTCATGGGGGATTGCGGCTTCGGGCGCGCGAGCGCGTTGTGGTCCACTAAGATCTGTCGCCTCGGCAGCGCGAACGAGCGTCGATTTGCGAGCGAGTGGCCTCGGGGGCGCGAGCCTGTTGCAGTCTACTGGGGAGCGTGCGCCTCCTCGCTCGCCCGCTCTCTCTGCCCGTCTGTTTGCCGGCCGTCTTCGGCAGGCGAGGGGCCTCTGCGCTGCAGGGGGCGGCGCTGATTGCATACTGCGCGTCGCGGCAGGTCCTGCTGAAGTCGGACGCCAACTTCGACCTCGACGCAATGGCCGAGAGCCACGCCAGTGCGGCCAAGCCGCAGTTCGAGAGGCCTCTTACTGCAGCTACTCTCTGCAGGCATGTCTCAGCTACACTCCGTGCCCGACGTATGGACTGTGATGGCTCTTTCTGATGCATTGCCATACCACGGATGAGTAACCACTTGTTCAGAATCTCGCTCCTCCATGTGATCGTGTCCCACCACCAAGCGCAGTGTCTCTGGGGGCCCCCACTGCTCGCTTACTCCCTGAAGTGTTTCTGCAGTACCACTCTCTGATAACGCTCGCCGCTCGCCACTTTTCTGGATCGGAGTCTTTCCTGATCGTTCTCGACCCCCTCCTTTCCTCTCCTCCGCCTTCCCTGGTGCCCCTGCTCCTCCCGCTCCCTCACTCCAGTTCTCGCTGCTCCTGTGCGTTCTCGTTCCTCCTTCCTCCTCCTCCTCCTCCTCCTCCTCCTCCTTCTCCTCCCGCTCATCCTCCTGCTCATCCGCCACCTCCTTCTTTTCCTAAGTACGCAGCTCCCTTTTTACGATTGTGCATATCACAATGTTTTTTTGAGTTCCGGGTCCGCTATGACACGCGTCCGTGGATAGAAAACAGGTCAGCGCAATGGGAAGAGGTGTGCAGGATGTCAGATGTGGCGTGAGCGCATTTAGCTTGCCGCTCCCTCCCTTCCCTTTCCTCTCTCCTCAGTCTCGCCTTTCCTGACTGCTCTCCTCCATTTCCCTCTTGTCCCATCCCCTCCACTATCTCCTCCATCTCCTACCCGCTCTCCTTCTTCTCACCTCTGTTTCCTCTTCCCCTCCCGTCTCTTCTCCTGTCTCCTCTCCTCGTTTCCCGTTGGAAGCTCCTTGCACTCTTCGGCTTGCCCCTGCCGCTCTTGCGCCTACGCTTCCCATCCCCGTCATCTCCATCTTTCTCGCCAGCCCCCCCTGCCGATCTCCATGCCGCTCCTGCTCCCCAGCACCATTTCCTTTCTCTTCTTCGGCATGCTACCGGCGCTACCCGCAGTGTCAGCGTCCACATCTCCCTCGCTCTCCTCCCACCGCTCAGCGTGGCCGTCCCGACGCGAAGCTCCACGACGACGACGGCGACGATCACGCCCACGGCGACAACGACAACGATGTCGACGCCGACGCCGATGCCGACGACGACAGCCAGTGACGAAGACGGTGACGAAGACGACGCCGACGCAAACTCCGACCCCGGTACCGACGACCATGACTGGCGACGACGCAGACGGTGATGACGACCGCTACAACGACGATGTCGCCGACGCCGATGACGTCGACGACCCCAGTCGACCGCCTGACCTCTCCCTGACGCCGACGCGACGCCGACGCCGACGACGACGCCAGCGCCGACGCCGACGACGAAGCCGACGCAGCCGCGTCCGACGACGACGACAACAGGGACGACGACGACGACGCTGACGACGGTGCCGACGCCGCCGCCGCCGACGCCGCTGACGCCGACGCCGACGCCGCCGCCGACGACGATGTTGACGACGACGATGTGTTGACGACGACGACGACGACGCCGACGCCGTCGCGGCGGACGACAACGACGACGCCGACGACGACGCCGACGCCGACGCCGACGCCGACGCCGACGTCAACGCCGCCGCCGACGCCGACGACGACGACGCCGACGTTGACGACGACGACGCCACCGACGCCGACGCCGACGCCGACGCCGACGCCGCCGCCGACGACGACACGACGACGCCGACGCCGACGCCGCCGCGGCCGCCGACGACGCTGACGCCGACGCCGACACCGACGCCGCCGCCGTCGCGTTCGACGACGACGACGATAACGAGGACGACGACAACGACGACGACGTTGACGGCAACGACGGTGCTGACGACGACGACGACGCCGACGCTGCCGCCGCCGACGTCGACGCCGTCGCTGACGCCGCCGCGTCCGACGACGACGACGTTGATGACGACGACGGTCCCGCCGCTGACGACGACGACGCCGCCGACGCCGACGCCGACGCCGACGCCGACGCTGCCGCCGACGACGACAACGACGATGACGACTTTGACGACGCCGCCGCCGACGCCAACGTCACCGCCGACGTCGACGTTGCCGACGCCGACGCCGACGACGCCGACGCCGACGCCGACGTCGACGCCGCCGCCGCCGCGTCCGACGACGACGACGACGACGACGACGACGCCGACGTTGACGACGACGACGACTACGACGACGTTGACGACGACGACGGTGCCGACGACGACGACGTCGACGCCGACGACGTCGTTGACGCCGCCGACGCCGACGCCAACGCCGACGCTGCCGCCGCCGACGACGACGACGTCGTTGACGACGACGGAGACTTCGACGATGCCGACGCCGACGCCGCCGCGGCCGCCGACCTCGACGCCGTCGCCGACGCCGACGCCGACGCCGACGCCGCCGCCGCGTCCGACAATGACGACGACGACGTTGACGATGCCGACGCCGACGTTGACGACGCCGCCGCCGACGCCGCGTCCGACGCCGCCGCCGTCGCGTTCGATGACGACGAGGAGGCCGACGACGACGACGACGACGACGACGACGACGACGACGACGACGACGACGACGGTGCCGACGACGACGGTGCCGACGACGACGCCGCCGACGTCGACGCCGTCGCTGACGCCGCCGCGTCCGACGCCGACGACGACGACGTTGACGACGCCGAGGGTGCTGCCGCTGACACGACGACAACGACGACGACCTTGACCTTGACGACGCCGACGGCGACGTTGCCGACGCCGACGCTGCCGAAGCCGACGCCGCCGACGCCGACGCCGACGCCGACGTCGACGCCGCCGCCGCCGCGTCCGACGACGACGACGACTACGACGACGACAACTACGACGACGCTGACGACGTTGGCGACGACGACGGTGCCGACGACGACGACGCCGACGCCGCCGACGCCGACGCCGAGGCCGTCGCTGACGCCGACGACGACGACGACAACGACGACGCGGCCGCCGACGCCGACGCGCAGGCCGCCGCCAGAGACGGCCGAGTCGCTCGCGGCGCTGGAGGCCGCCAGCGACCTGCGGATGCACCCGAGCATACCCGTGCCCGACTCCAGGATCGGCGCCCCGGCCCCTTCGTTTCCGGCCCTCCTCGCGGCGGGCGGGCCGTCAGATCTCCGAAGTTGTTCACATTTTGAGCTTCGGATCTCGAGGCTGTTTGGGCCTCTTGGGGTCTTCTCGTCTCCGCGGCTGGATTCGCCTCCAGATTCTGGCCAGAACGCGCCCCTTGAGCGGTCCAGGGGCCGATTTGTGACCCGCGGATCCGGAGCCCTCGGCCGCGGCGGGCGGATCCCCTTGAGATCTGGGCGTTGCATTTTTTTCACGGCGGCATTTTCGTGGAGTTTCGGTGCCTGGGACGCTCACAGATCGATCCAGCTCGAAAAATGCAGCTGAAAGATGCGGTGTATGGCTGCGGTCGTGATTTTTGCGATGCTGCAATTTTTTTCGCAACGTCTGATCTCGGGGACCAGCTCAGGAGGGCGATTCCGTACCTCCAACGTCTTGAACAAGAACCATGACAGGCGATCGTTTTCTTATTCATCGTTTTGCCGATCGGCGCGGGCCCCCCCCCCCGTGGAGTAGATCTCGACTGTCTTTTTGGCGCCTGTTGTGTGGAGTCTCCCCCATAGGACGCACTGCTGTGAACAGTCGCGCTGGGCAGAGGTCCGGAGCCAGACCCCCCCCCCCTCCCCCCCCCTTCCGCCCCACGCCAAGACGCCAGATCACAGCACGCGCACCCGAGATTTTCCTCCGCTTCCGGCCTCTGGGCGCCCTCGTCGGGTCCCGGGCCCGTCAAACAGTGGCTTGGGATGGGCGTCGCCCCACCATGATCATCCTATGTGTGCGTCGCCCCCCCCCCCCCAGGGGGCGACGCGCGCACCGAGAAGTCCTTTTGGTATTTGCGTCGTGGCGGGCGCTTTCTGGCCGCACCGCTCGCGAAACGATCTACTACAGGATGGGTATGCTACATGTTCGGGTCGGACGCGCGCCTCCAAGGAGGACATATAACCATGAATACGCCCCGGATGCTAGTGCGGAGTGATAGCACCCGCAGGCATTTCGGCACATAGGCATGCTGTCGCGGGCCTGCCAGCGGCGCCCCGCGTTGCACCGCGACGATGTCGTCGCGCATGCGGCGACCAGCAGCTGCCGCCGTGCCGCAGGCCGCCCGCCGCCGGCCTGCTGCTGCACCGGGCGCTGCCGCCCGCCGGCCATCACAACGTTCGCCTGGGCCCCCCGGGGCTCAGGCACCCTTTGCAGATCCGGGGCTCGCGGACGAGCTCCAGGCGCTTGCGGGCGCCCTCGGTGTTCCCGTCCCCGACGCGGCCGCGGGGGCTGCTGGAGCTGGAGGCGCCGCTGCGGCCCCCGTGGAGCCGGCGGCTGCGGGACCAGGGGCCAGCGCTGCGCCGCCGCGTGCTGGTCCTGGGGGCGCTCCGGTCGATCCGCTCGCCCCTGCCGCAGGCGCGGCGGGCGAGGATCCGCGTGCCGCCGAGCTACGTGGACTTCTCCGCGCAGCCCGGGAGCGGATGAACCATGCAAGGCCCGCGCTGCCGCTGCCGCCAGGCGAGGTGCCTGCAGCCGCTCTCACGGGGCGGCTCCGCGAGGAGCTCGTCGGGCGCATCCTGGCGGCCGCGGACACGGAGGGTGGAGGAGATCCAGGGGCGGCCTTTTGGGCCGTTCCCGACGCGGCCGGGGAGGGCCGCCGTGGGGAGCGCGACCGAGGGCGTCCCCCGACGCACGTCGTAGCGGCCAGGTTCCCCGGGGTCCTCGCGCAGCAGGCTCTCGGGCGCATGGAGGGCCACATGCGCGGGGTGGCGGCGGAGGACCTCCTCGGGGGGGGCCTCCTCAACAACGTCATCCGGGCCTACCTCGTCACGTCGTTCTTCGGCGCTCGCCCGGCCGGGGAGGCCGCCGTGGGCCTCCGGAATGCGCG